GTCCGTCTCATGGGGCCTGAACTCTGGGCCTGGGCGCTGTCCCTCAGCTCTTCAGCTCAAAGCTACCGCTCTACTACTTGAGCCACAGCGCCACTTCCGGCTTTTTTTTTTTTTGCTTATATGGTGCTGAAGAATCAAACCCAAGGCCTCAGGCATGCAAGGCAAGCGCTCTACTACTGAGCCACCTTCCCAGCCCGTGAAGAGATCTTTTATCTTTTTATTTTCTTACTTTTTTTAATTAAGTTTTTTATTGTGAAAATACTGTACAAAGGGGTTACAGTTACATGAGCAAGGTAATGAGTACATTTCTTTTTTTTTTGTGAACATACTATACAGAGGGGTTACAATTACATGGGCAGGATAATGCATACATTTCTTACCAAGCATTGCAGCCTCCTCCTTTGTTTACCCTTCACCTCCCTTCCCAGCCTCCCCCCTCCCCCCGAGATCTTTTATCTTTTAAGTGTAAAGTTGCTAAGGAAAAAAGCATATCCTACATTCTACATGTTTAATAATACACTGGAATAACTTGATAAACTTTATTATTTTAAATAAGATAATTATTATTAATTATAAAAAGATTAGGTCAAGCCAAGTGCCAGTGGCTCACTTCTGTAATCCTGGCTACTCTGAAGACTGAGATCTGAGGTTGGTGGTTTTTAAAGCCCCAGCACGAAGGTCTGTGAGACTCTTACCTCCAATTAACCCCCAGAAAACTGGAAGTGGCACTGAGGCTCACAGTGATAGAGCACTAGCCTTGAGCAAAAAAGCTCAAGGATAGCACCCAGGCCTTGAGTTCAAGTCCCATGACCAACAACAACAACAAAAAGATTAGGTCAGATCTGATAGGTGCCGACCTGTAATCCTAGCACTAGGGAGTCTGAAGCAGGAAGATCACAAGTTTGAGGCTAGCCTGGGTTAGTAAAACCCTATCTCAAACAAGAAAAAAAGAAAATGCAATAAAAAGGCAGCAGTATATTTTAAACATAGAATTATGCGTTTATGTTAAAGTAGTTGTGTTGTGAATCATTAAACAAAACTCTGACATGTTATATCTGTCTATCAACCATGCCTGAGGTAGCTGAGATGCCAGCAAGCCTCTGACCACTTTTACAGGCAAAATGACGGTGTACAAGGAACTGTTTATGAACATATTCACTTAAGCATGTGTTTTGTTTGGCGTGCTGCATTTTGAACATACAGGCAAGTGCAGATATAGTATGCAAATACCTGTATGTCCCCCAGTTTTAAGAGATAAATTTCATGTAGTACTGTCTGCTTCAGATTTTTCCATTATATGTCAAACATTGTAGAGAAAATGAAAACCACTACTGTGCCCTTCTCTGATGCAAGCTCCTATTGCAGTAGCAACTGTATTGCAGTTACCATTTGTATTTCTCATCCCTTTTTAAAAATTGCACTGTATGTATGTGACAGGGTCCAGCTGTGTGCCCAGTCCAATCATATGCTCTTTGCTTATTCTTTCAATGAAATCTCTGTATTATCATTCCTTTAGTCAACAATTACTTACAAATGTCTGCTTAATGCCAGACACTGAGTTAGATGCTAGAAATAAAATGGTGTGCAAAAATAGGTTTAGAGAAGAAGATCTTGGAGATTGAACCTGAGAATTTTGCTATATCTAGGCAAAGGTGGTTGGTACGTGGTTGGATTACTGAGTTTCTCCTGGGATTATGGCTCTCCTGTTCCTCAGGATAAAGTCAGAGCTACCAAACAGCTCTCTAAGTCATTTGTGTTTCTTTTGGCCATTGCACGCCTTTTTGTCCTTCCTCTAGCCAGATGTTGCCTGATTTTTTCTTTCTTTTTTTATTGCCAATACTGGGGCTTATAATCAGGTTATTATGCTCTCACTTGGCAAAAAAGCTCAACACAAGCCCACAAGCCCTCTAACACTTGAAGCATATCTCCATTTTGGGATTTTTGTTGGTTAATTGGGAATTTATTTGTCCCAGTTGGCTTCTAATCTCCATCCTCAGATGTCTGCCTCCTGAATAGCTATGGATTACTGACAGGCATGAGCCTCTAGAGCATGGCTTCTGATTTTTTTTTTTTAATTAAAAAAATGTGAAATGTGGGACTGGGAAGATGGCTCAGTGGTAGAATGCTTACCTTGCATGCATGAGGCCCTGGGTTCGATTCCTCAGTACCACATAAGATGAAAAAGCTGGAAGTGGCGCTGTGGCTCAAGTGGTAGAGTGCTAGCCTTGAGCTGAAGAGCTCAGGGACAATGCCCAGGCCCAGAGTTCAGGCCCATGACCGACCAAAAAAAAAAAAAAAAAGTGAAATGTGTTACACATGAGACTATGTAAAACCCATTTATATACATTTTAAACAATAAAATGGATTCGTTATGTTGTCCCATTCCTGTGATTTCTGTTTCTCTGGACACCAAGGCAATAGGATCACTTGAGCTTACAAGTTTAAGACCAGCCTGGGCACTATAGCAAAATCCAGTTTCACAATAGTACACATAGAATGGGGGAGAGAACCCTAAAAACATGTATGTAGCTACCACCTCGTATTATTTTTGTTTTGTTTTGTTTTTGTGCTATTACTGGGGCTTGAACTCAGGACCTAGGTGTCATCCCTGAGCTTTTTTGCTCAAGTTTGGGCAGTTTACCATTTGAGCCACAGCTCCACTTCGACTTTTTGGTGGTTAATTGGAGATAAGGGTCTTATTGACTTTCCTAACAGGCTGACTTTGAACTCTAATCCTCTGATCGCAGCCACCTGAGTAGTTACAATTACAGGTGTAGGCAACCATTGTCTGATACCCTTTTGGTGTGTTAACACTACCATTGTAGCTCACCTATGCCCATCTCATTTCTCTCTCCATTTCTCCAATAGGTAACTTCTCCATTCTTTTGTATCAATTTGTTTTTGTGGCTTTGTTCTGTGGATTTTTAATTTCTCTCTCAGCATTTTCCCCCTTATATCATTAACTGTCTCATTACTAGTGGCCTTTTTCTTCTTTGCTATATGTTTGTATACACATCAGGACATCTTAAACTGGACTGTATGTTTAATTGTTAACCTTCCAGGCGGTATCTGTGCTAGTCTAGTTTAGTACCTGGCAGATACATATGGTATGTAATGAGTGAGATGAAAATGACATCTACCTTGCTGATTCTCGCTGTTAGCAAGTGACCTCAGCTCTCCAAACTCCCCTCCCTGTTAACTTTCTTCTCACTGCAGTTTAACCTGGATTTAGGTATCCACCATGACACACTTGTGTGGGTACAGATGGCTTGCACATGGCCTTCTGTCTACTGAGATCCTTTTCTGCTCAAATTATTTGCTGTTAGGTATAACATTGTGGTTTATATGTTATTTTTAGTTTCTTAGTTTTTGAGAGTTGAGTAGAAGTCATTGAAATTTTATTTTGTTTCTTGTATTAGTATAAATTGTGAAGGAGTTTTATTGTGGTTTTCTGTACTGGAATTTTAGTTTCTTCAGTTTAAATATGGATGGCACAACAAATGTGAATGAACTAGGAACCACTAAACTGCAAACTTAGCATTGATAAAATGGTAGATTCTATGTAATATATATGTTTTACTACATACACCCACACAAACTTAAAAGCATATTTTTCTGTTATTTTTTTTGTTTTGCCTGAATTCTTCTAGCCCGAGATATTCTTTGATGTGGTCAGCCTCTCCACGTGGCAGGAAGTCCTGAGTGACTCTCAGCGTGCACACCTCCGGCAGTTTCTGCCTCGTTTTCCTGTGGACAGTGCGGAGCAGCAAAATGGGCTCATCCTCGCCCTGTTCAGTGGGGAGAACTTCCGCTTTGGAAACCCTCTGCACATCGCCCAGAAGCTTTTCCGAGGTCCATAGCTCAGAGTGTGTTTTTATTAGGGTGGAATGTGGTGATACTTTTAACTTATGAGGATAATGCCTTCATTTTATTGGGTACTTTTTTTTTAATGCTATGGGATTTGAACTCAAGGCCTGTACTTGCTAGGCTGGCACTGCATAGTTAGGCATTGCTTGTAGCCTGCTTTTATATGGTTATGTTTTAGAAAGAGTCTTGTTTCTAACCCAGGTACTGCCTATTTTAGGCTTCTTATTCTAGCTGGGATGTTAGGAACACCACCATTCCAGGCTTTTTCCATTGAGTTGGAATCTTGGGGACTTTTCTTTCTGGGCTGGCCTGAATCAGAGACCTTCTATTTGCAGCCTCCCAAGTAGCTAGGATTCAGAAATGAGCCACCTTCATCTACCTTCTCTTCATTTTTCTGTGTAGATACTAACTCAGCAGAGAATGGTTTGTGTAATACTTTTCTGTAAGGGTTGTATTTCTTAAAGATAAGATTTGATTGATAAGTAGAAAATAATAGGAACTCAGCTGCTTACTAACACCCCAAATAAGAAGTAAAAGATTACTACCATCTCAGAGGTCCTCTTTATTAGTCTTCAAACTTTTTTATTTTTTGTTCAGTCATGGAGCCTGAACTCAGGGCCTGGGCTCTGCTAGTCCTTTACTTCACAACACAGCTCTACTTCTGGTTTTCTGGTGGTTAATTGGAGATGAGTGTCACAGACTTTACTGCCTGGGCTGATTTGGAACCAAGCTTTTCAGACCTCAGCCTCCTGAGTAGCTAGGATTACAGAAGTAAACTACCAGTGAGTGCCCAGCTTGTTTTTATTTTCCCTGTAGAAAAACATGACATTTCACCACTAAGCACTGTAGCACATCTCTCTCTCCCTCTTGTTTCTCTCTCCCTCTGTTTCTCCCTCTGTTTCTCTCTTTCCCTCTGTCTCTCTCTCTCTCTCTCTCCCCTCCCCCTTCTCTTTTTTGCTGGTCCTGGATGGCTTGAACTTGGCCTGGGCACTGTCCCTGAGCCTCTTTGTGCTCAAGGCTGGTGGTCTACCATTGAGACACAGGGCGACCTCCACTTTTTTCTGAGTAGTTTATTGGAGATAAGAGTCTCATGAACTTTCTTGCCTGGGCTGGCTTCGAGTCACAATCCTCAGATCTTAGTCTCTTGAGTAGCTGGGATTACAGGTGTGAGCCACCAGTGCACAGCTCATGTAGCTCTTAATAAGGACATTTTTCTACCTAATCACAGCCCTCTTAGCTGACCCAAGACATTTTATACTGGGAAAATAGTGTCATAGGCTGTTTCATGTTCAGATATTCTTGATTGTTGTGGACATGTGTTTTGAACATTACAGTTTAAATCCAGTGCCCATTCAGGAATCAGTATCAGCAGTGTGTTAGGCACTTACTTAGTCTCTTGAGCTTTTTGAACAGAATATATACTCTGCCTTTTAGTGTATTTTTTCTGCAAAATGATTGTGTGTGTGTGTGTGTGTGCGTATGTGTGTGTGTGTGTGAATGAATGTGAATCCTAGGCTTGAACTTAGGGCTTGAGTGCTGTCCCTGACCTTAATTTTTTTTTTTTTTTTTTGCTCAAGACTAGCGCTCTGCCACTTGAGCAGCAGCTCCACTTCTGACTTTTTGGTAATTCATTGGAGGGAAGAGTCTCATGGAGTTTCTTGCCCTGGCTGGCTTTGAACTGTGATCCTCAGATCTCATGCTTCTGAGTAGCTAGGAGGTGTGAGCTGTTGGTGCTCAGCTCAGACTGGCAGTTTTGAGGCATCTAGGAAAGCCACTAGAATGATGTCCTGATTTCTGCAAATATGTCATCTTTGTCGCTTTATGATTAGATTTTGTCAAGTTTTCTTGGCTAGAATGTTGTGTGTGAAATGCTTTCTCATTGTGTCACCTCTGGAAGCAGATGGTGTCAGTTTTCATTCACTGGTAATGCATGTGTAATCATTTGGTTAAGGTATTGTGGCTCATGCCTGTAATCCCATCTACTCAGGAGGCTGAGATCTGAGGATCATGGTTTGAAGCCAGCTCTAGCAGAAAAGTCCTTGTGAGACTCATCTCTAATCAACTACTCAACAACTGGAAGTGGAACTGTGTCTCAAAGTGGTAGAGCACTAGCCTTGAGCAAAAGAGCTCAAGGACAACACACAGGCCGAGCTCAAACTCCACTACCAACAGCAACAAAATGAAGAGATATTTGTCAGATCTCTTGATTATAAGGGAATCTCTTTTCCTTTATAATTAAGAAGCAATTTAACAGATGGTACTTCTAAAGCCAGTTTTGATTTACCCAGTGTTTTTTGCTTTACCACTGGTGATCCTTGCCTGAACTAGTTATTATTGAGAAGTTGCAACCTCTATTAGTTAGAGTTTGCCATTTCTAAGTCAGTTTCCTCTCTTCATTATATAGAGAAGTAGTAACTGTTTCTTCTTTCTTTTTTGGGATGCCTTTGCTTTGATAGGATGGCCTGAAAGTGCTGTACATCTTGAGTTGTGTTAAATTGGACATCTTGGTTGATGCTAAAGACTGGAGAGATGGGCTGGGAAGGTGGCTCAGTGGTAGAGCACTTGCCTTGCATGCCTGAAGCCCTGGGTTCAATTCTTCAGCACCACACAAGCAAAAAGAAAAAAAAAGCCGGAAGTGGCACTGTGGCTCAAGTGGTAGAGCTCTAGCCTTGAGCTGAAGAGCTGAGGGACAGCGCCCAGGTCCAGAGTTCAAGCCCCACGACCTTACCCCCCCCCAAAAAAAAACAAGACTGGAGAGATTAGGCTTCACCATTTTTTACCTGTCATTGTTTTAAGGACTTAAAATTAGCATTCCTGTGTGTGTGTGTGTGTGTGTGTGTTTAATTAGAGATAAGAATCTCATGTGCTTTTCTGCCAGTCTTCCAACCACAGTCCTCAGATGTCAGCCTCCTGAGTAGCTAGGATTATAGGTGTCAATCACTAGCACCTGGCTGCTTTTTTAAAAAAATAATTTAAAATTCTTTATTGTTATTGTAAAGGTGCTGTCACATTTATACAATTTAGGTGATGAGTATATTTCTTTTTGAACAATGTCACTCCTTCCTGTGCTTTTCCCAGTTTACCTCTCCCATCCCACAAATTACATATGGTTCATTTTCACATAGTGTATACCGACTACCCATGCCTGCATTTGTTCATACTTCCTCTCTCCATTTCTGAACCCCCCCTTAGTCCCTGCAAAAGACAGAAAAAAAAGAACAAAACAAAAAGCAAAACCAACTAAACAAACGCATGTTGCATTACTTCTTTTATGTGGTGTTGAGACTTGTACACAGGCCATTGTACTGCAAGGCAGATGCTGCACCCCTACATCCTCAGTGTCTTTTTTGTTTTTTTTAAGAGATGGAATGTTATTTTGTCTCTCAGACTGGCCTTGAACTTCTAGGACTGAAGGTTCAGCTGCCTGAGTCTCCTTAGCCAGGACTATGACACATCCTTGTGTCCTTCATTTCCTCCTTTGCATTTCCTCTGATGAGTTACTAGTTTAAAAAGGAATTATCCTCTGTGGTTGGCAGAGAGATGTTTCACTGGTCTCAGATAGGAGGACACTGTCTCCTTTGCTGTGGAATAGAGTGGAAACCTAGTTAACTTTAGAGGATTATGTGTAAAACCTTATGTTGTGTTGGAACTATTTACTTCCCTAAATAGTGTAGCTGTCCAGACTAGGTGTATAGACAGGGCATGTCAAGGCAGAAGTTTCTGTCCATTTCACTGACTAGTGCCATATTTTACTTCTAGTTTTGCTAAAGCTGATTGCATTCTGTGGTTATTAAGGTTATCAGCCTTAATTGAGCTTTCATTGTTTTCAGCAATGTTTTATTCTCTTTCCTGATTCCTTTATTATTATTTTAAAAATTTCTTTATTATTGTAAAGGTGATGTGCAGAGAGGTTACGGTCAAATAGAGTACATTTCTTTTTGTACAGTGTCACCCCTTCCCTCATTCTCTCCCAGTTTTTCCCTTCCATCCTCACCCACAAGTTGTTAGTCCATTTTTTATGTAGTGTCTAGTGAGTACCACCACTGCATTTGTTCACCCTTTGTCCTGCCATTTCTGTGCCCCCTCTTATGCTCCCAAAGACAGATAAGCAAGACAAAAGGAAAAGAAAACAAAAACAGCAACAAAAGAAAAGAAAACCCCCTATTTCTATTTCTTGGAGTTCTTTTTTTGGTAATTATTATTTTATATGATCAGATGCACATAGCTATTGTGCCTTTGTGATCCTCTCCTAAGAATATCCTCCTTTGGTATCACTATTGGTTAATGCCTAGAGACCTGCATAACTTACATGTTGATTCTTTTAATAGTTACTTTTCCAAACTCACTAAATCTGTGTGGACTGATAAACAGTTGTACTTTTGCGTTTTATTTTTTTTCAGATGGACACTTTAACCCTGAGGTAGTCAAGTATCGGCAGCTATGCTTCAAGTCACAGTACAAGCGATACCTCAGCTCTCAACAGCAGTATTTCCATCGGCTGCTAAAGCAGATTCTTGCTTCCCGGAGTGTAAGTAGTGCTGGGAACTGGATAAATAAAATGTGGGCGCTAAAAGGTTTTAAGACTTTAAGTAATGGATTAGATATAAAAGATACCACTAAGGAAAAGAATGTTACCAATTTCAGAGATGTTAAAACATGTAAAAGATACTGTTTCCTAAATTGAAGAAAAATGGTAGGCTCCGTGTTTACTAAGGAAAACAAATGGATTTCTAGCCATTGAGGATTATTGAAGAAAACTTAGAGTGCTTTGGAATTGATTAGAGGAGTTGTACGAGCATCTGAATTTGTGATGGGTTTGTAGAACAGAAAGCTCAGTGGCCTCTGAGTCTCTTCTAGACGTAATTCTGAGGCAAAGTTGTTCCACGTTCTTTTAAGTGTTTTTTTTTTTTTTTTGGTGCCAATCCTGGGGATTGAACTCAGGCCTGGGCACTGTCTCTGAGCTTTTGTGCTCAAGGCTAGCATTCTACCACTTGAGCCACAGCTCCACTTGTGGCTCTTTGGTAGTTAATTGGAAATAATGAACTTTCTTGCCTGGGCTGGCTTTGAACCATGACCTCCAGATCTCAGCCTCTTAAGTTAGCAAGGATTACAGTACAGGTGTGAGCCATGGCGTCCAGCTCTTTAAGCCGTTCTTTAGGCTTCAGTGTAGATTACTTTGATGTTTATTCTTAGTGGGACAACTCAGGACTCCAATTTGAGTTCAGGTGTGGAATTTTCATCTGTGGTGTCATGTTGGTGTTCATAAACTTTAACACTTACATTAGAGATACTTTGTAATTGACATAGGCTCTGCATTTTCCTTTGTCATGGAGGGCAGGGAATTGAGTATAAAATCTAAGAGAATAAAACTAGGTTGGCGAAGTATACAAAGAACAAGATTTGGTAATGATGGGTACTCTACTTAACCTGATCTCATCCTAGGATCTGCTGGAGATGGCCCGTAGGAGTGGCCCGGCCCTTCCCTTCAGACAGAAGCGCCCCTCACCCTCCCGCAGCCCAGAGGAGCGGGAGTGGCGGACCCAGCAACGCTACCTGAAGGTCTTAAGGGAAGTGAAGGAGGAGTGTGGTGACACAGCTCTGTCTTCTGATGAAGAGGGTGAGTGTCCTTGGGCACTTGGCATGGCTGGGTATCAGAGCTAGAGGCAGTTACTCAACTCCCCAGTAAAGCAGCTCTCTGAATCCTCTTGTCTTGGGGGTGGAGAGTGGGACTCATTAGCCTTTTGTCTGAATTGCTGAGATGCTGGTAGATGGGAGTGACTCCATGCCCTTGTTACCCTTGTGCTTGTGTGGCACTTGAGTTAGATGAGCACCTTTTGGATAGATCCCTGCTGAGCAGGGTCTTTCCATAGTAGGCCTTCTGGTCCCATTGTGCCACTTGAGAGAACTGCTTTTCCCCTTACAGGAGAGTAGTAGTGACTGTTGGCCTGCTGCAATGCGACCCCATCACTGTTGAAGTCTCTCTCCTGGAAGAGCCGTTTAAATGATCTAAGTGTGCTCCAGCTCATCTGGGGAAGGGTCAGAAAGGAATGTGGAACCCTGACCTCCATGTTGTTGGCTTAGTCCTGTTGAACCCAAATGGCCACTTACCCAATCTCCCCTATTGGAGTCCACAGCCACGTTGGATTTACAAGAAAACTTTTCTTTTGAAGATCTCAGCTCATGGCTTCCAAGCTCTCCTGCGTGTTCTCCTAGTCCTGCGGTGCCCCTGAGGGTGGTGCCCACGCTTTCCACTACGGATATGAAAACTGCAGGTGAGAACTGGGCTCATCCTGACCCTGTTCTAGCAACTTACAGGGCAGAAGTGAGAACTTCTCTAGAGGGAGATGGGGACTAGATTCTTACCTGCCAGGAAATAGCAGTGCTCCTTACAAGTGGGAAATTTGCATAACATTCCACATTTTTTATGTGTGTGTGTGTACTGGTCTTGGGCCTTGAACTCAGGGCCTGGGCAATGCCTTTGAGCTTTTTCTGCCCCAGGCTAGTACTCTACCACTCAAACCACATATCCACTTCTGGCTTTTTGGTAGTTAATTGGAGATAAGGAGTCTCACAACTTTCCTGGGCTAGCTTGGATCCTCAATCCTCAGATCTCAGCCTCCTGAATGTCTAGGATTATTGGTGTGAGCCACCAGTGCCTGGCCTACATCAAACATTTTTACATGTAGAGACATGCCTACCTTCTTTCCTTTGTAGTTTTCCTGAGTAGCTGATGATCTGGTATTTTGGGATAAAGAGAACAGAATCTTGAAATCTCAAAACTCAGTAATAGGACAGAATGGGTAACCAGAGCCAGCAGTTTCTTAGAATGTCTATGAAATTAGAGAAGAGTCAGTATTTAGGAATCAAAAGAGAATGTTAAGCTTTTAGTGTGTTTTCAGGCCAGCTAAATAATTGAAGTCACTTACTGACCAGTGTATAGAAAAGTAGAAGTGCTGATCCTTTGAAGATTTTTTAGTACATGTAGCAGAAGGAAACACATTACTTTTGAATGTCACATGATTCAAGATGTAAATTAGAGCATCATCCTAGTGAATGATCTAGCCCATATGGTTTGGTTCTTTTTCTCTCAGATAAAATAGAACTGGGGGACAGTGACCTGAAGATCATGTTAAAGAAACATCATGAGAAGCGGAAACATCAACCAGTAAGATTGGGATGGCAGTGGCTGTGTGTGGTGTTCAGTTCAGTCTCTGTTTTGGCTAACCCTGAGTAAGGCAATGGTAGTCACTACCTTATTTTGGTTTCCTGTTACTGCTAGAGAAAGTGGCAGTCAGAGGCAGGTTAGTACCAGAGATGAGAGACAGCACAAGTATTTTGGCTTCATCCTTCTAAAGGATGCTTGACACTATCTGCTTTCATCTTAATGATGACAGTATTTATGAATGTTGTTACCTTCATGTTGCCTGTGCTTAAGAGAGGTTAGTCAGCTGTCGTTGGTCTTACAACCAGTAAGTGCCAGAGCCAAGCATCAAACTTTGTTTTTCCCACTTTTTACTGACTCCATTATTCCACTCCACTAGATTTGAGTTAGTACTGAGCATGAGAGTAAAAGTGGGCTATTTGAAGCAGAAAAGATGAGAAAAGTCCCCTGTGGGAAGTCAGAACTAGATTCTTTCTGTCTTTTCCCCTTACTTCAATAGTGAGAAGATGATTTAACTTCTCAGAAACCTATCTTTAGATTTTGTAATATATAACTGCTCATAAGTCTGAAGAGCACACGCGATAAGGAATGCAGAGAAGCTTTATGAATTATAAATGCCATGCAGCGGGAAAGTCAACACAGTTTTCTTGTGCACAATAAGAAGAGCAATATTTTTGGGCTGGGGATGTGGCTTAGTGGTAGAGTGTTTGCCTAGCATGCATGAAGCCCTGGGTTCAATTCCTCAGTACCACATAAACAGAAAAATCTGGAAGTGGTGCTATGGCTCAAGTGGTAGAGTGCTAGCCTTGAGCAAAAGAAGCCCTGAGTTTAAGTCCCAGGACTGGCCAAAACAACATATATATGTGTGTATGTATGTATGTATGTATATATATATATATATATATATATATATATATATATATATATATTTTTTTTTTTTTTTTTTTGGTTGGGCATTAGGGCCTGGGGGCTATCCCTGATCTCTTTTGCACAAGGCTAGCACTCTACCACTTTAAGTCACAGCACCACTTCTGATTTTCTGGTGGTTAGTTGAAGATGAGTCTCAGACTTTTCTGCCTCTGCTGGCTTTGAACCACCATCATCAGATCTCAGCCTCCTGAGTAACTAGGATTACAGGCATGAGACACCAGTGCCCAGCTTAAGAAGAGCAATAGGTTTTTGTCACCATATATTTTAACTCAACATGATTTTTTTCAGATGTACCTGACACCTTACTCTGTTAGGTAACCATCAGGTTTTGGTCCTTTTTTAGGCCTCCATAACCAAATCTTTGTATATCACATCTAGGATCACCCGGACCTTTTGACAGGGGACCTGACCCTCAATGACATCATGACTCGAGTAAATGCTGGCAGGAAGGGCTCTCTAGCAGGTAAAAGACCAGAACCTCTCTAGGTAGCCTTTGCCTGACTCTGCTGTTAAATTCTATGAGCCTTTCTACATGTGACAAAAATAAATAGAACCATAGTTCCCTTTGTGCTACGCACTTTTGTGCTTGCTCTTGTGAATGTAAAAACAGTAGAACAGATCATTAGATGTTAAAAATAAGGTGTAAACCACTCACTGAATTTAGTTTAGAAAAAAAAAGTCTCAGTGTCTTAAGACTTTTCTGTCTTTGGTGGGCCTTGAGTAAAAAACATGCAGATAAGACCTGATGCAGATGCAGAGACTTGATGCATAGAATGAAGTTCTGTACATGTGTATTTTTTTTCTTCCTAGCCTTATATGACCTGGCAGTCCTTAAAAAAAAGGTGAAGGAAAAAGAGGAAAAGAAGAAGAAGAAAATCAAGCTAATTAAATCAGAGGCAGAGGATCTGGCTGAGCCCCTGAGTAGCACTGAAGGGGTCCCACCTCTCTCTCAAGCCCCATCTCCATTAGCAATATCTTCTATTAAGGAAGAGTAAGTGAGCTGCGTGCTGCTCAGAGTGGGTGGTTAAGCTCAGGGCTTTACCCAGTCCTTTTGGACTTTGTGAGCTGGTTGTTAATGTGTTAACACCTGTGTGTCTTGAGTCCAGGGATCCTGCTGGGAAAGTCTGTCATATGCTCCTTTCTTGAATTTTCAGGACTGCTAGGAGACTCAGGGACCTGAATGAATCTAGATATTCTGATTTTGTTCTTACATTTTTCTTCCTTAATTAGGCCCCTAGAAGACCTCAAACCTTGCCTTGGAATCAATGAAATATCTTCTAGTTTTTTCTCTCTTCTATTAGAGATATTGCTGCTGGAGAATCAGGCTAGCCTTCCAATGGTAAGAGTTTTGGAAACATCAGCTATATATCAAAAGTCTTGAAATGGTTGAGCTAGCTCTTTGGTGATAGCTAGCTTGAGAAGCAAAACTATCAGATTGAAATGCCCAAGAGTTTATGCTAACTAGTTTTGAGACTTGAGCACACTAGACCCAAATACCTAGCTTACCGTGGCACATCCTTGGAATTTCTGGTAACTTTGTTATACCTTTCCCTCAGCTGGAGGAGCGAGTTTTGGACTGGCAGTCATCTCCAGCCAGCTCTCTTAACAGCTGGTTCTCTGCAGCTCCCAACTGGGCCGAGTTGGTGTTGCCAGCCCTGCAGTATCTCGCTGGAGAAAGTCGAGGTAAGGCCCATTTTTTGAAGGGTCATAGTTTTTCCCTTTTTGTCTGAGTAGTTCTTACTATTGAAAAGCAGCTGTGCTCATTTCACTTTTGCATCATTATGTCATAGATAGCACTGTCCTGATGCACTCCCAAATACTCTAAAGCTAGGAATGTGGCTTAGTGGTAGAATGCTTACCTAGCATGCATGAAGCCCTGGGTTTGATTCCTCATACCACATAGACAGAACAAGCCAGAAGTGGTGCTGTGGCTCAAGTGGTAGAATGCTAGCTTTGAGCAAAAGAAGTTCAGGGAAAGAGCCCAGGCCCTGAGTTCAAACCCTAGGATGGGCAAAGAAACCAGAACATAGCTCAGGGTACAGGCTGTTTGTGTTTGCTCTGAGTATAGCACTCCGACCTGTGTGCCTTATTCATGGGATCCATTTCTTGTAGCTGTTCCTTCCAGTTTCTCTCCATTTGTTGAATTCAAAGAGAAAACCCAGCAGTGGAAATTGCTCGGTAAGTAGCTTGTATTACCTTTCCCTTTCACTGCCTTCCCTGTTTCTTTTGCTTTCTGATTAGTACAGTACAGGATGCTGGACAAAAAGGCAATATTAGACCTTTTCTCTGTGAAGCAATTATTCAAGATCACCAGTTGGACTTTGGCTCATCTCTTTCTTGCTTGCTTGCTTGCTTGCTCTCTCTCTTTCTCTTTTTCTTTCTTTTTTTCTCAGGTGTGCTTGAACTCAGAGACTGGGTGCTGTTCCTGAGCTCTTTTGCTCAAGGTTAACATTCTACCACTTTGAGCCCCATCTCCACTACATGAATAGCCCTTTTATTATAGTGCAGTTATGTAATTGACTTAAGTATGTAAGAGTAACAGTAGCACCAGTCATAGCCATACTAGTGTTTTTGGACTTATAGTTGTTTATCTTTACTAAGAATGGCTTTGCTGTTGATTGAAGATAATATGTAGTAAAATAGTGAACAGCCTCTAAACAGCTATTTCTAATTTGTGTGTGTGTGTGTGTGTGTGTGTGTGTGTGTGTGTGTGTGTGTGTACGTGTGTACGTGTGTACAGGTTCTGAGGTTGAACTCAGGGCCTGGGTACTGTCCTTGAGCTCTTTTGCTCAAGGCTGGTGCTCTACCACTTGAGTCTCATGGACTTTCCTGTCTGGGCTGGCTTCAAGCTGTGATCCTCAGATCTTAGCCCCCTGAATTGCTAGGATTACAGTGTAAGCCACCAGCTCTTAGTTGTCCCTGAGCTCTTTGTGCTCAAGGCTAGCTAGCATTCCACTACTTGAGCCACAGCTCAACTTCTGGCTTATTTGGTATAGAGATAAGAATCTTATAGACTTTCCTGTCTTGGCTGGCTTTGAATCAGGATCCTCAGATCTTAGCCTCCTGAGTAGCTAGGATTACAGGTGTGAGCCACCAGAACCCAGCTCAAAAAGCTGTTTCTAAAGAATAGAGTTTTGTAGATAGGATTACAGGTGTAATCCTAATCAAAAGGCTGAGATCTAAGGGTCTTGTTTGAAACCAGCCCAAGGAGACAAATCTGAGAATTTCTTATTTCCAATTAACCAGCAAAAAAGCTGAAAGTGGAGATGTGGCTCCAGTGGTAGAGTGCCATCCCTAAGTGGAAAAAGCCAAGTTAGAGAGTGAGGTCCTGTGTTCACGCACAAGTACTGTAATCCTTGAACCTCAGCCTCCTGAGAAGTTAAGATGACAGTAGTGAGCCATCTGTGCCTTGATTCTGTGTCCTTTTTTTTTTTTCCTGGTAAGAAAACTTAACATTAGGTAAATCCTCTCAACAAATTTTGAAGTCATGTGGGATGTTGTATAGCATGTCTTTAGACCTTATTCATCTTGCATAACTGAAACTTTATACCCATTGAATAGAGTTATCTTTTCTCTCTGACCCCTGAGAAACACCCTGCTTATATGAGTTTGACTACTGTAGGCAACTTATATAAGTGAGATCATGAAGTACTTCTCTTTATATGATTTGATTAGTTTACTGGCCTAATACATTACAGATTCATCCATTCTCTTGCAAATGGTGAGATTTCTTCTTTTAAGGCTGAATAATATACTTTTGGGGGGGGGGCACTCCTGGGGCTTGGACTCAGGACCTGGGTGCTGTGCCTTAGCTTCTTTTGCTCAAGGCTAGCACTCTTACCACTTGAGCCATGGTACCACTTCCAGCTTTTTTCTGTGTATGTGGTGCTGAGGAATCAAACCCAGGACTTCATGCATGCTCGGCAAGCATTCTACCATTAAGCCATATTCCCAGCCTGAATAATATACTTTTGGATGTTGTCACCTTTTTTTTTTCCCTGTTGATAGATATTTAGGTACATTTTTGTATTTTGGTATTGTGAATAAACTACAATGAACATTGGAGTGAAAATAACTCCTTGGAATCTTGATTTCAGTTATTTTGACTATTCCTAGAAGTGGGATCGTAGGGTAGTTCTGTTTTTTTGTTTTTTCTAAGAGCAGGATGATTTTATGTTCCTATCAACAGTGTATAATTTTTTCTACATCCTTTTCTCCACATTCTTGCCAACACCAACTTTTATATTTTTATTTATTTATTTTTTTCAGTCTTGGGGCTTGAACTCAGGGCCTGAGCACTGTCCCTGAGCTGCTTTTTTACTCAAGGCTAGTACTCTACCAATTGAGCCCCAGCGCCACTTCTGGCTTTTTCTAAGTAGTTTATTGGAGGTAAGAGTCTTACAGACCTCCTGCTTCGGCTGGCTTCAAACCGCGATCCTTAGCCTCAAATAGCTAGGATTACAGGTGTGAGCCATTGGTTCCTGGCTACACTTAAATCTTATTAACCCTTATGGTATGACATAAAAATGTAATTTCAGCTGGGCATCAGTAGCTTCTCAGGAGACAGAGATCTGAGGATCATGGCTCAAATCCAGCCTGAGCAGGAAAGTCTGTGAGTGAGACTCTAATCTCCAATTAACTACCAAAAAGCTGGAAATGGGCTGGGAAGGTGACTCAGTGGTAGAGTGCTTGCCTTGCATGCATGAGGCCCTATGTTTGATTCCTCAGCACTACCTACGCAGGAAAAGCCAGAAGTAGAGCTGTGGCTGAAGTGGTAGAATGCTAGCCTTGAGCTGAAGAGCTGAGGGACAGTGCCCAGACCTAAAGTTCCCACGGCCAACAACAACAATAAAAAGCTGGAAATGGCACTGTGGCTCAAAGTGGTACACTAGCCTTGAATGAAAGCAAGCTCAGGGACAGCACCCAGGCCCCCGAGTTCAGGTATTGGGACTGGTACACACACAAAACTTCATTCTCAAGAATATGGATTTTTTGTACAACTACTTAAAGATATAATAAAAAATGTAAAAAATAAAAAATAAAATTAAAAAAATTGGATGTCTAGTTTCCCTACAATTCATTCTTTTACAGGGACTATCCTTTCCTTATTGTGCATTCTTGGTCTTGGCCAAATGAATTTATATGTGTATATTTCTGGGCTCTCTATTTTGGAAAACACTTTCATTAAATTTTGAGAAGAATTGACAACAAATTTCTGAAACCACTGTGGAGAGAAGGAAAATCTCAGGGGTGTCTCCTGATTCTGTGGGACACAGCCACTAGAGAGTAAACAGTCACATGCATGGTTGATAGATTTAGGGAGAAATGGCTTTCACACCCTCACAGATCTTGGAGGGAGTGTCAGGAGAGGATGATCAAATTAGAAGCAAAATCATCTGGAAGGTACAGTAGGACCAAGGAAGCGTAGCATAGAAATAAGCATTCAGGGGTTCCTGGAAATGGTGATTTTGATGGTATTGTATATTGTTGAGTCAAAATGGAAGTAACCAGGCTGGTGTATATAGCCACCCAGCCTCTTTGGGAAGGGTATTCACACACAGATCTATGTGGTACTGATCCTATGGTGGTTCTAGCCTGGGAAGGAAATTTAGGTACTGTCACCAGTCAGGTGCTGCACTAGTCTGAACAAGGTGGCAAGAGATGAAGACACAGACTGCTTTTTTCTTTCTAGGGAGGTGGTCAAATAAAGCTTTTTTCCCACATCAAGGATAGGATGATTCAAGGATAGGATGATTGTTCTTGTGTAATCTGTTGTCACAGCCTTTATAGTTTTATTTAACATATGCTTTTCCTCCCTTGATTATAAACACTATGAGCCAAAAACCTTGAATGACCTAAAGAGTAATGTCCAGGAGTAGAGCTCCAGGAAGTAAGTAGAAGAGCAGTGTATATGCAAAGGATCATTGTCATGGGTCTTGATGTGTTTTCTCTCTGACATAGAGCAGGTAATGAGAAGGTAGGATTTTGAATAATACTTTTTGTCTTTTTATTTCCCCTCTAATAGGTCAGTCCCAAGATAATGAAAAGGAATTAGCTGCACTCTTCCAGCTGTGGCTAGAGACCAAAGACCAGGTTTTTTGTAAGGTATGTTTTTTTTTTTTTTTTTAATAACAGGTCTTTCTCATTGAGTTTCAAGATCTCTCAAGTTAGTGAAAATTATTTTAGTCCATTTAACTGTTAATGTTTTTCTTTTCTCCAGCAAGAAAATGAAGACAGTTCAGATGCCATGACACCTGTCCCTCGAGTGTGAGTATAATGTTCTGTTGGTAGGTGGTGTTCATGAAACCATGGTTGTTGCATTGCCCTGGTTCAGCTGTCATGGCTTGGTATGTTTGAGATCCTAGGAGTCTGCTGATTCCTACCCACCTCAGCCACCTGAGGACAGTGATACATACTTACCAATAAAGGCAGCTCCTTGTGGAAAGACTTTTGCTTAAGAGAGGGGACTTATGAGGGGACACGATCTACCTGCTGGGTAGGCACAATTTTTCCATGTATACATATCTAGGTTCCCATTTTGGAATGATTTATCACATCCAACTTCCTTATTTCATCTATAAAGAAATTAGGGCTTGAGGTTCAATGACTTGCTGAAGGTTAGCAACAGGACCCCCACCAGAGTTCTGATTTGTAACAGCTTATCCTGGGCTCTTGACTGGTGTCATCTGAGTTTGATTTTCAAACTTTAGGACAAAGATCCACCTAAAGTGCAGCAGAATATACATGTAAACAGGAATGTGGAACTCAGATTCTGGTACTTGGGAGGCAGAGAAACCACCCTTGTTACAAACTTTGGTGCTTTAGTCCACTTAAGGCTGATACTTTTTGTTGCAAATAGTTTGGGCTTGAGTATTGGTAGCAATACTAAGAACAGAAGTTTAAAATACCAGTTTTTTCTCTGCCTACCCCAAAATTTTTGCATTTTAAGAATTGAGTAATTCTGACAGTACCAGTAGAAGTCAATAGAAGTTGGAAAGTAGACTTTTCAGGAGTTGAGCACTTTTGAAGGGATTTTCTTTTTTTTTTTTTTTAATAGTAAAAATACCGTACAGAGGGGTTACAATCACATGGGCAAGGCAATGAGTGCATTTCTTTTTTTTTTTTTTGGGGGGGG